CTGTGACTATCTTGTAGATAGTGGAAGAAGACTTAAAACTCCTAAATCAGAGACAAAGGACTTTATTACTATCAGCAGAGCAAAAAGTATGAGCATAAGCATATCTGCATCAGTTCCTCCCCTTGTCCCCAAGTCCATGATGTGATACGTCCCAGACAGACCCTGGGTTTGTTTTGCTACTGAGAAATACTGAGCTTGGGGAATCCACAGGTTTTATAACAAATTGTAAGCAAGCCTGTTCTTCATTCAAAGGGAAACATCACCTAATTTCTAAAAGTTCCCAACTACATTAAAGAAAAACAAAGCGAAAAAGAGTGGCTAAGGCCTTATAGACTACATATCCAGCAAGACAGAAGTCCAAGAGGCCAAAGGGCACTGTCTCTCCCAACAATTTCAAGATCTATTATAAAGCTACAGTAATCAAGGCAGAGTAGTACTAGCATCAAGAAAGACAAACAGACCAGTGGAACAAAATAGAGAGTCCAGAAATAGAACCTCACATATATGGTCAACTGCTTTTTTACAAAGGGGAAAAGGTAATTCAGTGGAGAACACAGAGTCTTCAACAATTGGTGCTGGGAAAATCGGTTATCCATATGCAAAAAAACAAAAACAAAAACTTTCGATCCGTACCTCATACTATACAAAAAAATTTATTCAAAATGGATCATAGATTCTAATGTAAAACCATATAACTCCTAGAATAAAACATAGGAGAAAATCTTCAGGACCTTAGGCTAAACAAGGAATTCTTAGATAGAATACGGAAAGCACAATCCATAAAAGAAAACAACTGATTAGTTGGACTTCATCAGAATTAAGAGCTGCTCTTCAAAAAGGAGCCCTGGTGGTATAACAGTTACACTCTCGGCTGCTAACCAAAAGGTTGGCAGTTTGAACCCACCTAGCTACTCCATGGGAGAAAGACCCGGCAATCTGCTTCCATAGATTACAGCCAAGAAAATCCTATGGAGGCAGTTCTACTCTGTTGCTGTGAGTCAAAATTGACTTCACACCTGTCTTTACTAGTGCTGCTATAACAGAAATACCACAAGTGGATGGCTTTAACAAACAAATTTATTTTCTCACAGTTTAGGAGGCTAGAAGTCCAAAATCAGGGTGCTAGTTCTAGGGGAAGACTTTCTCTCTCTGTCTGCTGTCAGGGAAGATCCTCATCAATCTTTCCCTGGGTCTAGGAGATTCTCACTGCAGGGACCCCAGGACCAAAGGATGCTCTTTGCTCCCGGCTCTTCCTTCTTGGTGGTAGCAGGTCTCCCTCCTCTCTGCTCGCTTCTTTCTTCTTTTATCTCTTGTTAAGATAAAAGGTATGACTCAAGCAGGGGTGTGACTTGAGTAAGGGTGGTGACTTGAGATATATTCCACCCTAATTCTGCCTCATTAACACATAAAGGTCACAATTTACAACACATAAAATGGAAAAATAATGGGATAATTATATCAGATCACAAAATGAAGAATCCTAGCCAAGTTGATACATATTTTGGGGGGACCTAATTCAATCCATGACAACACCCAAACAACAACAACAGCTCTTCGAAAGACACTATTAAAGAATAAAAGACAAGCCACAGACTGGAAAAATATTTGTAAAGCCTGTATCTGGTAAATAACTTGAATACAGAATGTATTTAAAAAATTCACAAAACTCAACAATAAGAAAACAAAAAATCCCAATTAAAGACTGGGCAAAAGATCTGAATAGACACCTCACTAAAGAAGATAAACAGATGGCAAATAAGCACATGAAGCAATGTTCAAAATCATCAGTCATTAAGGAATTGCAATTTAAAACCACAATGAGATACCACTACTTATTTACTTTCCAGTTCCAGTTGCCACTGAGTCAATTCAACTCATAGCGACCTCATGTGTCTCAGAATAGAGCTGCATTCCATAGGGTTTTCAATGGCTGTGACCTTTTGGAAGTAGAACGACATCCTTTCTTCTGAAGTGCCTCTGGATGGATTCAAACCACTGACCTTTTGGTTAGTAGCAAAGCACTTATCTGTTTGCACCAGCCAGGGACCCTTATAAATTTATTTCTAACAGATAATAATAACACATATATTAGAATACCTAAAATTAAGAAGACTGACTATACCAAGTGTTGGCTAGGATGCTGAACAACTAGAACATTACTGGTGGGAATGAACAGTACAACCATTTTGCCAAAACAAAAAAAAAAAAAAAAACAGTGGCAGTTTCTTAAAAAGTTAAACATACACCTACCATATGATCCAGCCATTCCACTCTTAGATATATACTCATGAGAAATGAAAGCGTATGTCCATACAAAGACCTATACACAAATGTTCACAGAAGCTTTATTTGTAATAATCAAAAACTGGAAACAACCCAAATGTTTATCAACAGGTGAATGGATAAGCAAACTGTGGTATATTCATACAATTACCTAGCAATAAAACAAAATGAACTATAGATCTACCCAACAGCATAGAAGAATCTCAATAATGCTCAAGGTGATATGCTCAGAAACTGGAGAAACCACAACTTCAGCACAGGCTACCTAAACATAAACATACAGAGCTGCTGGAGGCTTCCTGTATAGGCCAAAGTGTCCTTGGGAGTACAATGCTGAATTTACATAATGCTCATGAGAATTCAGAGGAGCTTTCTTTTGAGGGTGTTGGAAATCCTTGGCCGGAACCTTTACTTTTTTTCTTTGACCCCACAAATCCAGTTCAGAACTCCAAGAAGCCCAAGTTTTGGGTCAGCCATGTGGACCAGATGCTTTTAAGACTTTCTGAAGTTAATTTACTCACCAACAGTTACTGAGAGCCTTTAAACAGAATCTGTGCTGGAGTGGTTGGGCCACTAAGATGTACAGGGCCACATGATGCAGATCTGAGCCTAATAGGAAATATTGTAGCAAATGAGTATATTTCTTTCTCTGATCTATCTTTACCATAACATGATTTTTTGTGGTCTGTGCCAATATCATCGTCAACAATTTGTCAGGATTATACTATTCCTATTTATAATTACTCAGGAACCATTGATCATGTGCTCTTATCCTGATGAATGTCCTGGTTATGTCTTCCTTGGCAAAGAGAATGTTGTTGTTAGGTGCTATCAAGTTGGTTCCGACTCATAGCGACCCTATGTACAACAGAATGAAACACTGCCTGGTCCTGCGCCATCCTCACAATCGTTGTTATGCTTGAACCCACTGTTAGAACCACTGTGTCAATCCATCTCATTGAGGGTCTACCCCTTTTTCGCTAAGTCTCTACTTTACCAAGCATGATATCCTTCTCCAGGGACTGATCCCTCCTAACAGCTTGTCCCAAGTATGTGAGACGTAGTCCTGCCATTCTTGCTTCTAAGGAGCACTCTGGCTGTACTTCGTCCAAGACAGGTTTGTTTGTTCTTTTGACAGTCCACAGTATATTCAATATTCTTTGCGAATACCATAATTCAAAGGCATCAATTCTTCTTTGGTCTTCCTTATTCACTGCCCAGTTTTCGAATGTATACGAGGCAAATGAAAACATCATGGCTTGGGTCAGGTGCATCTTAGTCTTCAAGGTGACATCTTTGCTTTTTAACACTTTAAAGAGGTCTTTTGCAGTAGATTTGCCCAATACAGTAAGTCTTTTGATTTCTTGACCGCTGCTTCCATGGGTGTTAATTGTGGATCCAAGTAAAATGAAATCCTTGACAACTTCAATCTTCTCTCCATTCATCCTGATGTTGCTTACTGGTCTAGTTGTGGGAATTTTTGCTTTCGTATAATCCATACTGAAGGCTGTGGTCTCTGATCTTCATCAGTGAGTACTTCAAGTCCTCTTCACTTTCAGCAAGCAAGGTTGTGTCATCTGCATAATGCAGGCTGTTAATGAGTCTTCCTCCAATCCTGATGCCATGTTCTTCTTCATATAGCCTAGCTTCTCGGATTATTTGTTCAGCACATAGATTGAGTAAGTATGGTGAAAGGATACAACCCTGATATACACCTTTCGTGACTCTAAACCACACAGTATCCCCTTGTTCTGTTCAAACAACTGCCTCTTGGTCTAAGTACAGGTTCCTTATGAGCACAATTGAGTGTTCTGGAATTCCCATTCTTCGCAATGTTATCCATAATTTGTTATGATCCACACAGTTGAATGCCTTTGCATAGTCAAAAGGAGCCCTGGTGGCGCAGTAGTTAAGCAGCTTGGCTGCTAACTGAAAGGTCAGCAGTTTGAACCCACCAGCTGCTCCTTGGCAGGAAGATGTGGCAGTTTGCTCCCATAAAGATTTGCAGACTTGGAAACCCAATGGGGCAGTTCTACCCTGTTCTATTAGGTCGCTATAAGTCAGAACTGACTTGATGGTAGTGGGCTTGGTTTATGGGTAATAATTGCCTATCCCACATTCTACAAATTCTGGTTCTTCCTGTGCCTACAGGGGGCCTATCCATTACTCACTGATCTGCCAAGCATATTCATCACTGGTCCATGTTATCAAGGTCAACATCTAATTGTAATGAGCCTACTTGTGATAAACCCCAGGGAGTTCTTTAAATTTTATCCCTAGCGATGGAAAAGTGGGGCTATTATACCACTTAATGGGTATGGAGGTAAGCAAAGTGTATTGTGGGCCCAATTTATATGTACCTTCCCAGATTTGATCAGCTCCACACACCTCCATTCTTGGTTCTCCATCACTTGCTTAGTGGAGGATTGCAGAAATTTCCATTTCTTTATTTTCTAACATTACTGTTTCTCTTAGCCACTCTCAGGATAAGGGGCAGGCTCCGCTCAGAGTTTATTGTACTTACTGAAATCACAGTATCAGCAGTGCCCAACTAAACATGACTGGTCCCCCCTAGCACTGCTAGATACAGATGAATCACTAGGCCATAGGGAGTGGGAGCTGGCTACCCTAGTCTGCCTGGAGGGGCTGCTATCCCAATCAGGAAGTGCATGGAAATCAACACCCACTGGGGATAAATTAAAGAAAGGAAACAAGGGGGAGCCAACATGTAAATTCTCTTCCTACCCCCTTCTATAGGCTGTTAAAAAGCATGGTGGGTTATCCTGAGATATTTCTCATATTAGTAACTAGCTTTGTTTTCTTGTGAAGCTGTGGCTAGCCCAATAATGTACCACCTTGTAGCTTGTCTTCCTTTCTCTGTTTTCTCTCTTTTATTCCTTTATCCTTGGTGCCTTCAGATTGTATTTCCCAATAAAGCATTACTTCAAAGATTTTCTCTCAGGTTTTGTTTTGTAAAGGACTTGGGTAAATGACATAAAGGTATAGCTTACCTGCTACAATGACAGAGTTAAGTAGTTGCAACAGGGAGCATATGGCCTGCAAAGCCTAAAAATATTTAGTCTTTACAGAAAAAGTCTGCCGAACTCTAAAGTGTTCATTTCAACAAGTATTCGTTGTATAATGTGCAGTAGGCTAAGTACAAATATATGACTTAACTGAAAATGGCTGAAACCATATGATGGTACCCTATCACTTCAAAATTTCCCCCGAGGGAATATAATAGAAGTTGTGTTTTGAATACATACCTAGAGTCTTTAATGCAGTGGGCAGCTGTGATGACCCACCTCTCTTTCACTAAGCTTCCCCCACATATATGAGCAAGAATACTGCCAGACTGAATTTGCAGGCTCACTATCCATGGCCATGCACCAACTTGAGCTTCTGTGCCCCCTATAATACGAGATCCTTTCAACACATCCATCAGCGGTGCTGTTCCACAATCTAAAAATAAAAAATGATATATATTTGGACTGAGCAGCTGTGTATGTAACTTCCTAATCTGAACACATTAATGTAATCCTCTAAATTCCTATTCAAAAAAACTGATGAAGCAAGCTGGACACCTGAGGCATGTCTATATTTTGAAAGATTTTTAAAGGAGAGTTAATATATAAGATACAACTATTGGTCTCTATGTGTCTGCAGTAAAAAAGAAAGAAGGAAACCAAAGACTCTGAGAAGAAACTAGTCCACAGGACTAGTAGTCTACATGAACCACAACCTCATTTACCCTGAGACCAGAAGAACTAGATGGTGCCCAGCTACTCCTACTGATGGCTGTAATCAGGAAAACAACAGATGGATCCTGATAGAATGGGAGCAAAATGTGGAACAGAACTGAAATTCTTAAAAGGTCCAAATTTACTAGACTAGCTGAGACTGGAGGACTCCCGAGACTATCGCCTGACACACTCTTTAAACCTTGAACCAAAACTATTCCATGAAGTCATCTTTTAGCTAAATAACAAACTGGCTCATAAAATAAACAATATCATCTGTAAATACTGTGCTACTTTAAAAAATCATCTCTATGAGACCAAATGGGCAATATTTATTCAAAGGAAACACAAGAAGGTAACGGAGCAGGGAACTAGATTACTGGAAACCGAACAAGCAGAATGGAAATGAGAAAGTTGACACACTGTGAAAAATATAACCCACATCACTGAACAAATTGTGTAGAAATTGTTGAATAGGAACCTAATTTGCTGTGTAAACTTTCACCCGAAACACAGTATTTTAATTAAAAAAAGGACAAACATGCCATAACAGATTACTTGCAAATAGACATTAAATCAACACAATTCATTAATTTAATAATTCTATTCCCCAAAAGTAGAATATAAAAATGAGATAAGTTTCACTGGCCTGGGATCATGTTCTTCTTTGTGAGAAACAGCGATGAAAGAGCCTGGGACTGTTGAGTCGGGTTCCTCCCCTTGCCATTTAACTTTCTGGGCTAATTTTTCTCAACTGTAGTATGAAAGTATCGCCCAATAGTTCTTTCAACTCTGAATTCCAACGAGTTACTAATTTTTTTAATGGGAATAATAAATCCCAGAACGTTTTGAGGAGCAAATATAGACAACCTACAAAAATGTATGGCGTTTTAACTATTACTGCTACCACTCTTAGTATCCTCATTACAATCTGATTAGAAACTGCTTAGGTCTGTATAATTTTGATTAAAGGCTGTTGGGACAACAGAAAAGGAAGGACCCGAATTCGAACACTATCAAAGTGAAAAAAGGGCAAAGGAATCCGTTCAGTGAGAGGGTGCTTGGCGCCCGACCCTTCCCCTCCGGGCCGTACCCTTCTCCTGCCTCCGGGCCTTTCCGCGCGCAGCCTCAGCCCCCACCGGACCACCGGCCTGTGGCCGCGAGGGGCCGAGCCTACTCTTCTCCGAGAGTGAGTCATATTCTGAGTATAAGAGAGGGCTGCCCGTGAACAACAGCACGACGCTCAGGAGTCCCAGGCCCATTTTGGAACTCCCGGTAGGCAAGATGGCGTCAGGCATTCTTGTCCTCTCGCCCGTCTGCCCGCCCTGGGCCGACAGGGGGCGTGGAGCTCAAGGCACGTGCACGGCTGACTCAGCAGACGCAGACAAGGCTGTGAGACGCGCACGCGGAGGCTTGTGAGGTAGACGGGCTGTGTCTAAGTGGGCGTGGCGGGGGAGGCGCGTGGGGTGAGAGGAAGGAATGGGAACGTGAGGCAGGTGAGGTGCATGGAGTGGGCGGGGAGGTGCGTGCTAGGGGAGTTGCGTGAAACAGGTAACTTGTGTGAGATGGGCAGGGAGCATAGGGCAGCAAGCTGTGTCCAAGAGGCCGGGTGGGGACGCCCGTGAGGCGGGTGGGCGGGTGTGGTGGACGAGGCGCAAGGGGCAGGCATACCTGTGAGGGGCTGGTACCGGCCATGCTATGAGGCAGGTGGTTTTGTCCAGACAGGTCAGGCCTTCCAGTATCCACTAGGACAAACGTATTTTAAATTCAGCAATGTCCTGCCCTCAGTCCGGCCCTGGGGGTTCGTTAATTGACGAGACTTTACTGGGCCAGATCAACACACTTCTATACACTGGGAGGATTGCAGTGGGAAGGAAAGTGCAGGAGCCCCTGGGGAGCTCTTAGCCCAGCCTTGGAAGATCAAGACTTCCAGAAGACATAAATATGTAGTCCTAAATCAAGTATGCTAAACTAGGGTCAGGAGAGACAAAACAAATGTAGAGGTTGGGATTTGAGACAACATAGCCATCAAGGGAACTGAATTTCTACATTACAGATTAATCTCTTATTATTCAGTTGCTTTGAAATAGTTTGCTTTAAGCTCTGATCACTTCAGGGTGAGCTGATGAAATCAAATTTAAGGACTTACAAAGTTGAGAACAAAGTCTGATTGAAGGTAATTGTACCACCACTCTAGACACACACACGCATGCACGTGTGCACGTGCACGTGTGCACACTTCAGTCCCTAGCCTTCTGAAACATGCGTTATTCCTTGCCCCTCTAAGAAGCCCTGAGATGCCCCCTGATATTCCAAATATGAGGTGGGGAGGAGGGAGGATGTCAGATAAGTGGTTCATTAACGGATCCATTGAATAAGTAAATACTAACATCACACCATATACCACACACTGAAATAAGTATTACATCATGGGAGATATGTTAAGACCTGACACGTTGACTTAGAGAACTTTATAGCTGGTTAGCCAAGAAAATCAGGACTAATTCACATGAAGCACTGGAGAACAACCAAAGAAATAAACTGTGACACCAATTACAAGCCTAAAAAAAGTTCAGACACAAAGGATTTGTGTGGGTTGTAGCAGTCTGGGTAGGTTCCCTGCAGGAGGTTTATGTGATCTGGCCTAGACTGAGTGGGAAGATCAAGAACAGGAAGAAATGGTGAGTACAGGCTAGGCTAAAGGTACAGCATAAGCAAGGGCATGGACATGTCTCCATGCATGACAATGAACAACTTGAGTGCAAGGAGCAGTGAAGATCCATCTGATTCTTGCTGGCAGATATGTACACGTGGAAGAAAAAAATGTCTGGAGTGCAGTGGATCGCTTTTGTGTGGCCTTTCTAGCCATGGTCTTGTAACTCCCACCCCAGTGATTGGGTGGACTGTGCAAATAATTGTGGCCCACCAAGGGGATTCGTCAGTTTTGCCTTAAAATACAGCCAATTCCAGAGCAGAGAGAGGATCCCACCACCAGCAAGGAAGAACATCCAGGAGCAGAGAGCGTGTCCTCTGGACCCGGGATCCTTTCACTGAGAACCTCCTGGAACCAGGAAACAGAGAGAGAGAGCTGTAACACTGAAGGCAGTGAGAAGCAATGGCAGAGACCCGGCAGCAGAAGATGGTGTGGTGGGCTTCCCAGCCCAAGGAGAGAGGAAGCTGAGTGACTTTGGGCAGAGGCCAAGGGCCAGGGAGAGACATGCCTGCGAGCACAGTTGGGAAGAGGTTGTCCTGATGGAAAAACTGTATCCTGAGTGTTCCTGAGCTTGAATTCTGTTACTTCCCTAATAAACCCCATAATTGTGAGTATTGTCTGTGAGTTCTGTGTGGCCAGTGCAACATATTATTGAACCCAGTACAGAAGTAGAGAGCGCCATGAGAGGGACGGTTGGTGTCAGAATTGGTAAAGATGGCAGAGAGAGGAGGCTTGTCTGACCTCTGCCTCATAGGAATCAGCCTTGGGCTGTTGATACTGATTCTCCTTGCCCCTTGTGAAGTTATAGGAGGTCAGACACCACCCTAATGTCCTATCACACCCTGGGGCTTGCTGTGGACAGACTGAGAATATACATATGTGTAATAATAGTGGAATATGTGGTGAGTAGCTGTGTATTATTTTACCATTTATTTATTTTTACTGTTTCTGTCTTCTTACAGAAACTGAAGAGAACCCCTGCCTTAAGAATTTTAATCAGGGTATGTCAAAGAAAAAACTTAAGTTCAAGGTTTCTTCCTGTTTTTGTGTCATTAAAGGCCCAGAATCAAAGTGTATGGTCCTTCTTCCCTTTAGCAGAGCTATTTAATACAGTTTTTAGATATGCAGTAGTAGGCCTAAGCCTGCTTTATACTTGGGGATAGGGATGCTGATTGATCAGCATAATGAAGAGAAATTTGTCTGTGCAAATGAAACTGTGGAAGAGGGAGGAGAGAAACAGGCAGCCCAGCAACACAGCAGAAGGCCAGGCCTGAGCCAAAAAGATGTCTGTGAGAATTACACTATGCTGGCTGACCCAGGAAGGATTTTTAAGAACAGTGATGTCTAATATATGATTTTAAGTTGTTTTGTCATTACTATCCTGAACTATGCTGAACTTTGCCTTAGTTAACCCCACACCTTCATAACAAGGGAACAGTGTGGGCTTTGGTAGTCTGAGAGGTTAGTCATGGGGTAAGAAATTAAAGTAGGTGTCAATAAAAGGACAGTCATCTTGCTCTTATCATCCCTCTGAGGCTGGCATGGTTGGCAGCATTAAATCAAAGGAAGATACTAATTGTTGGCTTACAGCTGGTAACAAGTGGGAAAGGGAGCAGAGGCCCAAGGCTGAGTTGAAATCAGTGAGTGGGAGGTAGCTGATACTGGAGAAACAAGTTGCATCATGACCTGATTTAGGGGCAGACAAGAAACAAAGTCCCTGGTCCCCCAATATTTTAGTGTAAAGTGATACTTGGAAGAAGGGAAACATGTTTGGGAACTGTGTGTTTCTGTGTCTGGGGCAGGTGGTCAGATTGTGTATGGTCTTGCAAGCAGGGCACAATGCTATGACAGGTAATAGGGAGTCAATAGATTCATAGGAGAGGCACATGTGTCCCATTTCCAAGAACTCAGGATTTTGTTTAAGCCCAATCCTAAATTTGAGGGTCTGTCTCCTGGGACCACTCTGATACCAATTCAGTATCAGTAAATGTCCATTAAAGAAATAGAAATTACACCAGTAATTTGAATAGGAAAAAATTTAAAGAATTACTAACTAGTAAAAGGTGGTTAATGACTAAAAAGGGTATAAGAAGACTGAAGAATAAATATAAGAATAGAAAATGTAGAGAGCAGCTACTGGGGTTGAGAGAGTAACCAAGGAAAGGACAAACATGGAAGTGGCTGAGATTCAAAACCTATTGGAGAGGGTAAGCTGTGACCAATTGCATGACAGATGAATTCACTGGGGTGCCTCACGCCAAAGGTGGTTGGTTGGCAGGAAGCCACTTGCTAGGGATTCAGCTAGCCAGGGCTGGTGCACAGGAAGCACCCACTGAGGATCCAGAGAAGTTCACTAGAGGCTCAGCATCCCTGGGTCCTACACATGCCACTGGTAACCACAATATGAGAGGAACAAGAAGCACATGGAAACCAGGAAGAGAAGTCCCTTTCTTCAGTATGCTTTGCTGTGTTCCTCTAGCAACTTCTTTTGACAAATCTAACAATGAACCAACTGGCAAAGGAGAAATGTTTACAGGTCCAACTTCAGTATCAAAAAGCAGGGCAAAGAAGTATGGATTTGGAGCTGAGAGACAGTAAATTGTTAACTGGCACAACTAGTATAAGAAGAAAATAGGATCACATAAGCTGAGAAACTTCTTCCCCAACAAAAACTACAAAGCCAAAGAAAACTGTCACAGAGGACTGCAGACTGAATTAAATCTTTAGACAAGCATTTGGATATATGAAAAAAACCTTTTAATCATAAATTTTTTTTAAAAACCCACAGAAATTGACCAAAAATTGAAATAAATGAAAAGATAGTCATTTGAACTCAAGATGGAAATGTAAGTAAAAGATGAAATCGTCTGAGAAATTAAGACTAAAATGAAAGTTGCCCAAGGGACACTAGATTCAAATTAAATTTTAATATGACACACTGAAGAAAGGTAGAAAAACAACCAAGCAAATGAAAATAAAGACGAGATAAGATGTAAAAAGGATCAAAAAGAAAAGTTGAAATGGAAGACTGGCAAAGAATACATATATATAAAACTGGAATGCCTGAAGAAGAAAAGAAAATGTTAGACCAGATCTTTTATTTTAAAAAAAAAATTTCAAGAAAACTTTCTGGAATAAAAGACTTGAGTTTATCAATAGAAAGGCCTATCGAGAACACGTGAAAATTAACATGGAATGAGCAACTTTTTTAACTCTAAGACATACTCTAGTAAAATTATGAAACTTTAAAGATAAAGAAAAAAATTATCAAGACCCTTATACATAAAGGTCAAATTTCATCCAAGGGCAACAGAATTAGATGCCAGCAGACTTATCAAGGAGCCCTGGTGGCGTTGTGGTTAAGAGCTTGGCTGCTAGCCAAAAGGTCGGCAGTTTGAATCCACCAGCTGCTCCCTGGAAGCCCTATGGGGCAGTTCTACTCTGTCCTATAGGGTTGCTATGAGTGGGAATTGACTCAACAGCAGTGAGTTTGGGTTTTTTATTAAACTTATCAAAAACAACATATAAAGCAAGACAATAATACAGAAT